ATGGGATGCAGATTTGGGCACTGGCAATCCTTTAGCGTCCTTAAGTATAAAAAACCATCTGAAGGCATTAAAAATGGAGCAATGTGATTCCGATACACGCCGTACCGTTATTTTTGGATAAGGCTGCCAAGTTGGACAGATATTTGGAGTTTTATTTAACAAGACCTTTGTTGATTAGAGAAGAATATCTAGTTAGAAGGGATAAGGCGTTTATAAAGTTTATATGTCATTCTGGTGATAGAGCAGGTGATTTAGCGAATCTTAGGATGGATCAAATAAAACAAACCGAGGAAGGTGTGTTAGTTCGTATGACACAGGGTAAAACAATAAAAACAAAAGCTAGAATATTTTGTGTAGCCCGAAGTGCGAATGTGGAGTCTTGCCCAGTAGAGGAGATCCTCGATTTTGTTGAGGTTTTGTGATTTGAAGGGGCTTAAAGTGCGATATGGATATTTGTTTCGATCATGTAGATCGATTTTAGACTTCACGAAAAATCGACCTATTTCGTCTTCAGCAATTAATAGCAGGTTGAGAAAGCATTTGAAGGATGCTGGGTTATGGGAGGGGGAGACGTCTCATAGTGCGAGATCGGGGTGTGCAATTACATTGAAAATGCTAGGCATATCTGATGAGCAGATTCAGTCTCACGTCGGTTGGAAGTCAAAATCTATAATGGAAAGTTATGTGAAATTGTGGACCATGACGAATGCTAAATCAGCTTCTGTAGCTATGTCTTCGGATCAGGCTCTTTTGGTCAAAAGTGATGAGATTATGAAGTCCAAGATGAATTTGAGTTTTAAATTTTTATTGAGTGTTTAATGATACATTCTTGATTTTTTAGAGTAGCATCGAAGATGAGGTGAAGGAGTTGAAAAGGTTATTTGAGCAGCAGAAAACAAAAGATGCTGACTAATCTGTTGAATCCTGTTTAAGCCAGGTGAAAAAATATGCATCTAGAACGTACGATTTCGTCCCGGATATTCTACTGCAGAAATAGTTAGTCCTAGAGCTTAGAGCAAGGAAAGCATCTCATAGTGAGGCTGACACGTTTTCGTTCGTTATACAGCGATTTCATCACTATAAAAATCACGATAAGCTGGGAAGTATCATACTAGCAATGTTGGCGACTAACGAGGAAGCTAAGGTCTTAAAAAAAGAACAAAATTTTTTGAGATCCTGTTCATCTTCTGAGAGTCACAAAGCCGCGAAAAATGAAAAGGATAGCGTTCATCAGCAGAAATCAAGCAGCTCAAGCAGAGGCCCTAAGTGTTATAATTGTCAAGAATATGGGCATATAGCGAAAAACTGTAAGAAAAACTGATAATTTAGGCTGGAATGTCTTAATCTGAAATTTGTTATTGTTCTTTTTCGATGGAATTTGACATCTTTTTTCAGCTAACATTTTTTTGTTGTAGAATGGTATTGATACCGTGTTATGGGTTAATAGTAATGGGGAGCGCATGTGTTGGATGTGATTAAAGGACGATGCAAGCCTGATTTATTAGAGTTACCGTTTAGGGACCCGAATCACTTTAGGGCGGGAGAAATTCATAAGCATTTTAGTGAGTGGGTGAGGGTGGCTGGTGAATATGGTGATCATTCAAAATTTGACGTTTTGAAGGTTATTGCTGATAAGGTCAATATTTACGATTATATGTGTCCATTCAAGGGTTATTTTGAACGTAGTTATTATGATTCAGATACACCTCCATCTCTTAAGTTTAGCAATTCAAAGTCATGTGAAGAGTTTAAGGGTTTTATAAATTCAGAAATTGAGTATGGCTCATCTCGGGTGCCATATCTGAAAAAAAAAAAACTATGCCATATTTAGTATCGCCGCTAACGGTAGAGCCGTCGAAACCAAGATTATGTCTAGATTTGCGTTTTTTAAATAGCTGGATGGTTGATTCGCCTTTTACGTTAGATTCTTTAAATGAAGTACCTCGTATAGTTAATAAAGCTTCGTTAATGACAAAATTAGATGATAAGTCGGGCTATGACCATGTTCTAGTTACTGAGAAATCTAGACAATATTTTGGTTTTGAATGGGATTCGAGGTATTTTCTGTGTAACACTATTCCATTTGGGTGGAAAAATTCAGCGTTTATATATCATAATTTAAATTTGGCTGTTGCATCCTACTTACGGACGCTTAATGTAAATAATCTTATATATATATATTGATGACCGTTTGGTTGGGGAGGTTATGGGATTTAATGGCAGCTCAATAGAAAGTGCGGATGTGGCTATTTATGCTACATGTCAAATTGTTCTTAGACTTGGGTATTTCATTGGTTTTGGAAAGTCTAGTTTTTTACCGTCCACTTCAATAATTTATCTTGGTATGATAATAGACACCGAGAAACAGGCTTTTTTATTGCCCGAGTCTAAGAGGAATGCTTTCATTAAGTTGCGTGAGAGTATTCTTGATAAGAAGACCGTCTCTCTATTGGAAATCCAAAAGTTTGTGGGGAAATGCATTTCTTTTATGTTGGCTATTCCAGGTGCAAAACTTTTCACATCCGAAGCTTGTAGATGTATTTCTTACTGTATTAAAGCGGACTTAAATTTCATAAGCATTAGTGGTTGTTTCAGAGATGAACTGAAATTTTGGCGTTTTTTGGACACCTGGGATGGTTTCATGCCATGGAAGGAAGAGAAGCACGTGATCCTAAATGTGACAACTGACGCTTCGAATTTTCGTTGGGCGGGTAATATAAGTGTTGATGGCGTTGTTCAAGAATTCGGTGACTATTGGAATGAGCTGTTTCTTGGGATGCCAATTGTTGTGAAGGAGGCGTATGCTATATTGTTTTCATTGGAAGCAATTAAGTCACTCTGCTGCGATGTGAGAATAAGGGTATTTTCTGATTCAAGGGTTTTTATTGATGCGTGGGAAAACCAAGGCTCTAGATCTCCGATGCTAATTGAGGTTTTGAAGAAAACATTTTATTTTGTGAACGAAAATCGGATTTATCTGCAGTTCAAATTCGTTCCCTCAAGGGGAAATACTGCTGATCATTTTTCGAGAATATTGTCAAAGGAAGACGCTATGCTTTCGAGGGTGGCATGGGAACGAGTGAAGCAATCGTCGTCAGAGGAGCATACGGTAGATCTTATGGCCTTAGACTCCAATTCTCAGTTACCAAAGCATTTTACGCCTCATGTCACCCCCGACACGTCTGGGGTTGATTTTTTCGCGCAAACAAATTTGCAGAGAGAGGTATGTTACGTGTTCCCTCCTATCTCGATGATTTTGTCGGTAATTACATTTTTTGGGGAGCAAAACCTTAAAGGCACAATAATAGTCCCTTTGTTTGAGTTAAAGCCAGTTTGGTGGTCGAAACTTGTACATTTATCAGATTATAGTTTTCTACTTGGTAGTAAGGGGGATAAGGATATTTTGAGGTTTTAAAAGCGAATATGGTGACGTGTCCTAGTGGTAGTGCTGTGTCTAAAATTCTTGTGGGAGACTCCATTGTTAGGACTGTAGACGAGGTGGGAGATTGTCAGGTGAGAGTTTTCGCGTTTAGTGGAGGGAGAATTAAGACTATATGTCGTCATGTCAGTGGTATTATTAATCAATTAAGACCGCTCTTTTGTTTCATTCATGTTGGTATAAATGATATTTTGTCAAGCAGAGATGTTTCTAAGTCAATGTATTTGTCAGATTGTAATGAATTGTTTGATATCCTAGATGAGGCACGGCGTCGGTTTAATGTTACTATTATTATTTCCGGGGTTTTGTATTCAGATCGCGAAGGTTGTGGGGTGGGCAGAACTTACTTAAATGATATATTAGTGACTAAATGTTCCCATTTTCGATTTCACTACGTTGCGCATGACATTCAGTCGATCCATTTGTTAGAGGGGTTACACTTGAATACTTTTGGAGTGACCCGTTTTTGTAAGGATGTAGGTCTTTTGTGAGAATGAAGTGCTTTTAGGTGATCGCACGAAATCCGATTTCGATTCCAAACGTGATAGGTATGTTGTCGCTAGGTGACACTAGTCTACACGTCTTCTGACTGATTGGAGTTTAAGCTCGAAGCGATGTTGACGATGCTTCGAATTCCAAGTTCTCGAAGATAACCTGAAGCGGACATTTGGAAGAATTGTGTGCATCATTTCTCGTCCTGTTTTACAGTTTGCTGTTTATTAAATGTGCCTTTTTGAAAGTAGGAAATTGTTGACCTGAGCCAGTTTTTTACGACCTCCTGAATATGGTATATATATATTTTGTATATTTGCTATAAGTAAAATGTGTATTGGGTAGATGTATGTGAAATTAAATATGTATTGGGAAATTAACGGTGTTTGTGTTTATTTTATTATAGTCGAGGACGCATACACAGGCAGTTTGGACACTATTTCGTGCAATCTCTTACATCTACGTTGCAGGGCAGATATTCAGCAAGAAAATTTTACTATTACTGATTGGCTTAGCTAAAACAATCCCGTTTCTGAGACTAAAGTATGATTGGTCAAAAAGTTGGCGTAGCTGTCCCTTTTAAAATATTATTTGTCCTGCTCCCAAAAAAATTGTTCCATACTGCATGAATCGAGTTGAAAAGTGAGCCATGTTTCCACTTTCTTGAGAACTTTAAGTATTTTTTATAATTTTCACATAATTCATTTGTTTGTTTCGAAGTTCATTTTAATTCTGGACACTAAGAAAAATAGAATCCTTTAGAGAAACAACTTGTGTCGGTGAAGGCAAGTTTCTGGACGACAAATTGGAAGACTAACAGGTCAGTTTTTAGTCACATGATAGCGGACGGGTCCTTTTTAAATTTATAAGTTACCAAGTTTGACAATTAAACACATATTTAAACATTTTGTCCAAATTTTGTGGATCATGGGTTATTGTGTCATAAAATATTGTGGAGCGAACGGACCCAGGGCGAACGATCTAGGGGAAAACATGATAAAGACCGAAAATGTATAGGAGCGAACGCGTTTAACAGTACCTAGCTAAATCTAAAATTCTAACTTCATGACCTAGGCCTTCGCTTTTATGAGATTTTTATTCTCATATTACCCTAATATCCATAGGACACAACATTACAAGTTTTGTGGAAATATACTTTAGGTCTACTTACTCAGTGGCGTAGCCAGGATTTCATTGACAGAAGTGAGGGGCACATTTACCCTCTTTTTGGCTTTTCGAGGGAACTACCCTCTAAATACGCCACTGTAGTAACTTGTAAAAACGCAGTAATATTAGGAGAAACATTGCATAAAATGCAGGAATTTATTTTCAAAACTTATTCTCACACAAAATACCCTTACGATAGTTTGAGAAAGTTTACTCCTCAATTGATTTTGAATAGATATACTTGTAATAAGCATGCTTTCCAATTCATTCACAAGGTTAAATGTAAATTTTGACTAATTTGTAATTAAGATATATTGCCGAAAGAACAAATGAATGTACACCAAATTTCATACAACGCAGAATTTTTTAGATAGGTTTGAATTGAGAAGTATTCATCCTTGAACCATGAACTCTTCACAATCGGCCTTGACATTTATTTGTAAACAAACACGACATTTTTTTTTCAAAAAGTGAATTTTTGATGAAAATGATGATTATTTGATTGCAAAATCGTTATTTTAAATATTTAGGTAGTTTTAAGCAATTTTTTCCGAAAAGAATATCAAATCATGACTAATTTTATTTACCACGCCGTGGTTAATAGCTGTAAGGGTACTTATGGCTATTTACCACGCTTACCACGCCAGTGGTAAATAGCCACTGCCGAACGGAATGGTTTATATTTGTATTGGATGAATCGGAAATAA